GTGTATAGATACCAAGGTGGTTATTTTGAACATTTGATAAAATAAAAATTGTTGAACTTGTTTCTATATTTCTTTTCTATTTCGTCATCATTATTTTTTGTACCGTGTAAAATATATGGATGACTAGTTATCAGAAGAGATAAGAAAAAGAAGATGGATGAACGAAGAATAGAAAAATAAAGAAAAACGAAAAGACAACACGTATGAATGATCATATGAACCATACTGGTACCAGCTAGACTTCCACAAAAGTAAGTTTTCCAGGAAATTTTTATAAGATATACCAGTTAAATAGTGATCATTTAGTATAGAAAGATAGAGCAAAAGATGTTCTATTTTTCTCATAAAAAAAGAAATTTTTTTGATGAGACTATAAGCAATTAAGATGGGACGACCATTAGTTTTGGTATGGCCTAAGTATCAATTGTTTTTATACATAGAAACTCTTCATTGATTTCATTTTAGATGATCGATCACACGAAAACTTCCGATGAGCACAAGTTCATTTGGTTATGATTGTTGATGTTAATGCTATTTCTATTTACACGCACACTCTGCTGCTATCTATAAAGAGGCCTTTTATGAAAGACTTATTGATCTCAATGTGAATACACAGAATTTGATTTATCTATATCAACCTCTTCATATATCTTGTTCAAGTCTGATACTCCACCGTTTGTATAAAGAGAACGTACCGGTAACAAGCTATCTTGAGGTTGGGTGTGTTGAATGTGTAGCTATGTTTCTATTTCTTTCCTTTATTCACACCTGACACCCACTTACTCACACCCTAGTTTTCCCACACTGTACAATGCATCCAAGGTTAATTTTTCAATCAGATATAGATCTCTCTAAAACAAGTTGTTTGGTAGAGGATGAAGTAGCATTTCGTTGCACAAGTGTAGAAGAATTTTTATCTGAAGTTTGTTTCGAATTTTAAAATTGAAGTGTAATGAATGAATGTGTATTGGTAGTAACACACGCTTTTACATTCTGAAGAATGTTAGTTACACAGTGAATATTCTTGTTGTTTTCACGTTTGTTACTCAAATGAAAGAGTCATAGATTGTGAAGGCGCTCCACATGTTGTCCCATCCATACCACCGAAGTGTCTTGGTGTACTATCACAAGGTCTTAAAACGGTGCGAGCATTACAGTCACAGAAAGGACCATTTGCATTTATTTCAGGTGCTCCACTGCAATAACCAATACGCCAAGTAATGCCATCTAATGGAGTTGTATAGCTCGACCATGTCCTCAAAGCTGCAGCAATAGCGTTCACAGCTGTCACATTACTAACAACAAAACCAACAGGATTTCTTGAACCACTAAAACGCATCACTCTGTATTTTGAGCATGTTAGACTTGCAAGAAATACCTTCCACACTGCACACTGGTGTTCAGTGCCTTGACCTTGTGTAAAGTACTGAGTATACGTTGCTGGGGTACAAAACTCCATGGCTGAAAATGAGAGAAACAGATACATATGTCTTCAATACTAATTATTCTGCTTAAAATTTTCTGTACAAAAAGTTTTATTGATGTCTTGTAATTGAAACCGTTAGTTAGTAAATATGAGGAAGTTTCTTCTAACAGCTAAGTATTTACTATGGTTAAAATCCTCATTATAGGTTCTTGTGCATCCGATCGATAAAAAGAACTGTATAGTAAGTAGTAGAATCAATATAAGGAGTATCATCGACCTCTCACAAACGGGAAAAGCCAACATTGCTCTGCGCTCGTCTATGTACAACTTAGCTAAAGTTGCTGATAGCTGGAAACTCCATGAGACCATTTCGACATTATACGAAGAGGTTTGATCTCAGCACTTACCAATTCAAGAGGAACTTTTCCCTCAACTATAGTAGTTTAACTAAGGGGTTAAGAATCTTGGAAAAAAGACAGATAAAATTTATAAGATCTCAATGATTTGATACCAGGATCAAATGGAAACACCTTATAATAATTTCTTTCCACGAATACAAAGTATAATATAATAATGTTTCAGACGATCGGTTCTACAAAGTTTTGAGTACAGGAAACGAATTGAGCTTTTGGTCTTGTTTCATTCGAAAAGCAACAATAAGAATTTTAATTTTCATCAAAAGTGTACCTGATGTCATTGTATTGTAGTCAATTATCGATGTCTGATACTTAACCGTTTGAGCTTTACCGGTTACCATGAAGCTAACATAGAGCCTTTTATACTGCTCTCGCATTAGAAAATAATATTTGAAACGATTAACGTCACCACATTTTTCTGATGTGTAAGATCGAGTCTCCCCAGCATTGTCATTCGTAGGCATAGGGTCAATTTTCGAGGCGTACACCTTAATCGGAGAGTCACGACTACAGCATGCATCAGTTTCGAAACTAAGTACCACAATATGATCTTTGGGATTAGTAACGACGTACTGAACAGTGTTATACCAATCCAAATCGTTCTCGTCATAATATTTAGCAAGAGGTAGATCTTCATATTGTAAAACAGCTGGAACTGATGAAGTCAACGAATTGATATATTGCGTCCCTATGATCAATGCTGAGAAACTGTGATAAGAAGCAGTATAGGTAAACGGTTCTGATGCGATCAACGACAAAGTCGTACGATCAACGTGTGAACCAACACCAATTGCGATTATTGTCATGCGTAAAGTTGCACCGAGTAGCAAAGTGTCAGTTTTTCTGGGATTGGGTTGTGAAGCACTTGTTATCACAACAGTGACACGTGGAATAAATATATTACGACATGATCTGTTACACATACTTTCAACTTCTCTAAGAGCATCGTAAATTGTTGATGGGTTCTGTTCACTATCGGTACGAAATTGTTTTTGTTCAATTTTTGCTTTAATACGATGAATAGACTCCTTATTATTGGATGGACTATGAACAACATCCACTGTACTTAGAGAGCCATAAAATAAGATTCCAATTCTAACATATCCTGATCCTAGTCCTTGAATCATATTACTGAGTGCGGATCTCATGTCACCGAAGCGCTCTACATCCATATTCGAGCTTGACGTATCGACAGCAAAGAATACATCAAGAGATGAGTTTGTTTGAGCATTTCCATAGAGGCGAGACGACAGCTGGTTCGTTGGATTACGGTTGTGAATCTTTTGCGAATGTGAGTGAAGGACGGTACTTAAAACGAGAATGAAGAAGAATAAAGCATTGATGCACATATGAGGCATTTCACTTTGCCAAAGTATGATTATCTTCGGATACAAAACCTATAATGTAACAAACTAAAATATTATAACGTAGTAGCTTCGTCGCAGAATAATGTATAACTTCGTTCTATGTTTTGCCTGCATAATGCAACGCATAGCACATCAAAAAAGAAATTGAAGTAGATGTTCTAGCAAAAGTAGAACAATTTCTAACTCAGTATTTATGTGGGAAGTGAGTAATTTGAATACCAATGAAGTGTGAACTAAATGTAATCATTATGCAAATCTACGAAAACAAAATTATTGCTAGGCAGTAAATATTGAATCAAAACTGAGAGACGCATTTTTATTCCGCTAATAAGCCGAACGTTGAGAGGGGTTACTTCGTGGAAGAGCAATTGTTTATATCCATGAGATATTTATGACAGGCTTCACGAAGGGCCACCCAGGTCACCAAAAAGCTTTTTTTTCCAGTTTTAAGTTTTGTCAGATGATAGTTATAGTCAAGCCATAGCTTAATCCAAAATATGAGGGTGTGTATGAAGGAAAGATTATGGATGTGGGTGTGCATGTGAGTGTGTGGATTAATCGGAAGAGAAACCCCACATATGGGTGTTTAGGAGTTATTGCACGTAAGCCATGACCATTTCCTGATATCGTTGCTCAATCAATCTCACCGATTTGGCTGATTTTTTTACAGTAGGTAGGCCTAACAGACTTAGGAGGAAACTGAACATTTCAGCTCAAACGGATGGGCTGTTGTGGCGATATAAATGC